GCTGATATACCATAATGGCTAAGCCAATAAAAAGTCTTGAATTGCATTATCCAATGATGCAGTTTTTAATAATTGGAAATATTTTCTCACGAGTTTGCTTGCTGATGTGTTATCATGTTTGCAGAATTAAGTTACTGGTCACTCTTAACAGTGAACAGATTAATAGAATAATAATGTTTTAATAAAATCTGGGGAGAAAAAAATTTCCAGATATCCACAAGGTATGTAATGAAAGGGTGTTTTTTTTTTTTCTTTCTTTCCAATAGGAGATGGTACAATCAATTTTGAAGAATTTGTAAATATGATCGAGGAACGAAATAGCATGGAGGACGAAGATAATTTAGTTACGATATTTAGTGTATTCGATCCTGAACATAACGGCTTTGTTGAGGGAAAAAATATAAAGAAGTCGCTGCTTTGTCTGACTGATGTTCCCACGGAGGAACTGGATGAGATTATAGAAAAAGCCAGAATAACAGATGGCAGAAAATTAACGATGGAAGGTAAGATCTTGAATAATTAAATCGTTGGGCAAAATTTCAACTGAGCGGCGAAGGTTATCCGGATTGCTTCGGTTTGCTTTACAATGCTCAGGCTGCAGGCTTTACAATCACAGGCTGTGATTGGTCACGAAAACTCGTGCCACCTCAACCAATCAGATGCAAACTAAAACCAATCAGGACTTGGGCGCCCCGCGTTTTCCCGCGCTTTTGAAAGGTTGATGGCTTTTTTTTCGCTGAGTTCTCATTGGCTCTTTAAGCTATTTTCCTTTTTTCTGATTGGCCATTGTGATTACTTTGAATTTATTTTAACGAAAATCAAGCGAAAAGCGCTTTACAAGTGTTCTCTGATAAAACAAGTTATTTTCACTACTAGCAAAAGACGAGAGGTAATTCTAATCGATGCTAACAACTAGTATTTAAAAGATGACTGACTCTTACCTCAGTCAATTCAAACATTAATCAATTTAAATTTCGTTCATATATTTAAGTAGTTTAAAATGGATTTAGTGTTTAAGTGTTCTTCAAGTGAAAAGATCTCAAGCCATACTTTCTCTTGTGGATTTATTTCAGAGTTTTCTTCTCTCCTCGTGCCACTGATATACAAGTCGGGACGAGGACTACGGTATCATGAAAAAAGTCGGAGAAAGAGCAGAAACTTTGAAGCGATCTCAGAGTCAAATGTTTGATATATTTAAAAGTTTTTTATTCATTACCCTATTATATGATATAGTGGATAATTTTTCTTCTGAGCCGTAGAAAGCAGACCCTCCCTTAAATGTAAATCCGGTTTTTGTTAGTTTGTTTTTTTCTTTCAAACATCGAATTTCTAGGTGGTCTTGCAATAACGTGTGAATTAGTTTGGGGGAGCTTAGAGATAACACGATTGCGGAACTGTTTTTCTGATAAAAAAGGTGTCATGCACTCCTAGACGGGTGACGAAAATGATCAATAAGTTTTAATAGACGCTTAAACAAACCTATGTCTCTATGGCTTTTCTCTCGAAAAAGGGACATTTTAACCGGCAGTCGAAAGTGCATCCGTTAATTCGCTTCAATTCGCTTTGGCATTGGTCTAGAAATCTCACACCAACTTCTTAGCCAATCAGATTCAAAATTAAAACTCATCGCGACTGTGGTCACCCGCGTTTTCCCGTGCTCTGCTGCTTTTTACTTCATTCGACGTTGGCTTCTTGTCATATTTTTCTACGCTCTGATTGGCTTCACGGCTACTATCAATAGATAGTTATTGGTTTACTACCTGATCTCTTCCGAATACTGGCGCTAAAAACAATCCTTTTGAAGATTGCATCACCCGAGGCATCCTAATTTTTGTTATGGCGTTATTCTTAGGCTCATCTCAGAAGCGTTGCGTGAAATTGCGTGACGCGTAAGAAGGTCTCGCTTGTATATTTCGTTATCCCCTAATAAATTTAAGTTGTACTCATGGACCAGTCATTATTTATTGCTTGGAGGGGGGGTTTGGAGGATTTCAGGGGGGGCGGGGGGAGGGGATCATATGGGTTTTAGAGGGAACGGATGGGGAATCAGTCGTCGCCAAAAGAGTATAAAGGAGGGGACTAGAAAAAATTGACTGCCAACTAACCGCCAACGTAAGCGGGGGAGGGTCATATGAATTTTACAAAGCCTTATGGGGGACCAGTTTAATTTTATTGTGACTCAATCAAAATCCTCCACCCCTTCCCCCCCCCTGGCGATAAATAATGACCGGTCCTTCACTGATATTGTGTAAGATGAGATTATTTTGTAGCTGACGCATTGGTGAATTAAAGTCTTCCATTGTTTTTTAAACAACAGTAGCCAGGAAGAGGTTACCAGCTGGCCTCTTTTTGTGGTGCATTGGTGAAAAAATGCACAGAAAAAAAGAGGCTGGATTCTATCTCAGCTATAAACGTGAATCTGACTTCCCTTTCATAGAGGTGACTTTCGTAAAGGAATAACCATGTGGGGATTTTATCGAGAATGACTGGCTTCTAATTTTTTCCTTACAGTATCCCCCACGGATCAAATTTAAAGGTCTTGAGAATAACGGGAATGATCACCAATTTAGACGGCTCCTGATTGTCAAACAAATTATTCTCTTTTTTATGGAAACCTACATTCCGCGTTACTCAAACCGCGAAGCAACAAAAGGATAGGCAATAACTGGAATACAAATGACATCGAAAGGGTCCAAAGGCGCGCATAATCTATTATTTCACCAGAACTGTCACATCATGACTCCTTAGATAGGCATGATTTAGCTTCGCTCTACAACAGACACAAGAAGTTATGTACTGATCTGCTTTTGTCCATCTCAAATCCATTTCCTAAATTAGACAGTTTCTGCTAGATAGACATCATTCAGCGTACAATACAAGACTCCAGCGCGTTTTTAACATGCCGCGCCTTCCGCACCGATCGTTTCAAGTCTTCATTCATTCCGGCTATGTGCGCAAGGGCTAATCTTGGGTCTTAGCATCGACTGCGTATTTATTCCATTGCTGTGTAATTGTAATTATTTTAGGTCTGAGAATTTTTTGTAAACTTTCTAGTTTTATATAGTCTCATATATATCTTTAGAAATAACTGTGAAAAGTACGCAATTTAGCGTATGGCTGCAAAGTATTTTTATTTTTTGGTAATAAACTATATCTATCTATCTATCTATCCATCTATCTATCTATCTATCTATCTATCTAAACTTAATTGAAAGTCTAAAGTTGTTAATGGAGCTGAAAACTGTCATTATCGATTGCACAATAACATTTAAGAATGTACTTCACATTAAAATGAAAGTTTAATGGTGTAAATGAATTTTCGTATTCATGCAAACGGCCCAAATGAAATTTAAAACCGTCATAACGATTGGCTTCTCGCCAAATTGATAACACTTTCTTGTTATTTAACTTTAAAGTGGCGGTAATAAACATTTATCTTACGTTCTTGAAGGGCTAAAGGTGTACTTCGCAGTTTCACTTAACGTTGTAAAACAGAAACTTGCGTCACGCTAATGGAGGACTAACGCTAAAACCGCCAGACTTTTAGGCCAGCGACTAGTCTTGTACCCAGACCTTCCACGGCCAAACGGTTGTTACAGTTATATTACAAGGTAGGATCTGGGTACAAGCTTAGGCACTACCATATCTCGGGAGAAGTAGTATTTATCTGAAAAATTAAGTATGTTTAACTTTCCTCCAGCGGATGAATTTTTGTTGTTCACATTCGACTAAATCGAGGAATTCTGTGGAATGAAAGTACAAAGAATCAATAAGTTAATAAATAACTTAGTTTACCGTTTCCACAATCTCAAGCAGGAGGAAAGATGTTAGTATCTGAGCAACTACGCACCAACCTGTCCCTAACTTGTTGCCAATTGACCGTTGTTGGGTTAAGGGGAGGGGTCGGTACGCAGTATCTCAGATACTAACATTGGTCCAATGTTAGTCATTTCTGATAAGGCCAGTTTTACAATATTAGGATGACATAAAAACTCTCGAGTACCTTGATAACGTATTTTTCTATCTCTTTCTAAATCAGCGATCTCCATCAGCTCTTTAATCTCCTCCTGCGGAATTCGTTTGTCCATATTTAGAAGTATGTAGCGTAACTCCGCTGACTCGATGTATCCCTTATTGTCGGCGTCAAAAATTCGGAATGCTAACATCATGTCCGCCTCGCGTTCGTCTGGTTTCTTCTGATCCTCCATAAGTTTAACAAACTCTGGAAAGTCTATTACACCATTCCCTATAGGGAAAAATAGGTTGGTATCTAAACTAAATTTTAATCTTTTAACGAGCATCTTCCAGCGCGTGATTGGTTTCAAATTATTGGCAAATGGTTGCTGGAATTTTAAATACTCTAAACAATAACATTCAAACTTCCACCTTGTTCCCTGGGCCTCTCCTCTCTCGCTCTCGGGCGGAAAGATAAGATACCCTGGGAACGAGGTTGTCCAAACAAACTCCCGCTCAAATCCTCTTCTTCCCCCCCCCCCCAAGGCAATAAATAATGATCAGTCCCTCATTACTCATGAGGCGCGGTGGCCTCATGGTCAGTGCGCTCGACGCCGGATTGAGTGGTCTGGGTTCGAGCGCTGGCCGGAGACATCGTGTTGTGTTCTTGAGAAAGACACTTCTCTCTCACAGTGCCAGGTGTTCAAACCCTGCGATGGACTTGCATCCCATCCAAGTCGCTTCATGCTACAGAATCCGAAGTTAAGCGCCCGCCTGATGGGCCACTTGGCACGTAAGCAGACTTCACCTGTTTTACTGTTATTACTGATCACATTAATGCGTAAACAATTGTCATACCGTCATAATCCACCGAGTTTATCATCGCATGTAACTCTTCTTCAGTCGGGTTAAACCCTAGAGACCGCATTATAGCGCCCAGTTCCCTGGTGGTAATAATGCCATTGTCATCTCGGTCGAACAGAGAAAAGGCGTCCTTGTATTCTAGATTTTGCAATATGAAAAGGAATTTTTTAAAATCTTTATAACTGAGCAACGATAAAATCAAAGGATGCTTCTACCCCCCTCCCCCCCAGAAGAGAGGATTCCATTTTTTATTTTACAAACGTACTAAGAAAAATCCGTTTTGAGAACGAGCTTTCTCACTTTTGGGCCTCGTTGTTGAAGTATGGTAATCAGGTTTGAATAGTTCATCATACCTTCAATTTGCTCGTCAGAAAGGTTTTCCTAAAGAAAAAAAATCAGTTGAAATAAAACAAGTTAGCCTTTAGGAGCAAAAGACATAAATATTGATAAAACTTCAACTTTTTGTAAAGCTGATTTTAAAAGGATTTCATTTGATATAAGATGGAAGTTCTTTTCAGTACATTTATTTGGCTGAGATGAGAAATGAAAAATTGAGCGTTGCCTTTTGTCCCTAAGAGATAGGATACACGAGTAATCAGGTTGCTCCTGGCTTAAGTTTTCCATGTAGTTAGTTTAGAAAGGGGTGTGAGTCTTTGGAACTGACCGATAACATAATGAATAAAAAAGAGCTTGTGCGTTTACGGAGGTCGCCGTCAGTTTACTTCCGACATTCAAACGTGAGCCGAAGAGAGAGACGAAGTTTTCTTAGCCTCGTTTGCAACATTTTTAGAATGAGGTCGATCAATTGATAAAGATCTTTTTCTGTTAATAGCTTGACAGGTTAGCCTTTCACGACATTTGAATCATATGCACAACTGATTTAATCAAAAAAATTTCAAGTGCTCTCTTACCAAGAGGCAATAAAAAGTGTACTCGTTTCTCACTAAAGGAGATTATTCTGTTTGCGCTAAAAATAAACATAGAAATAAAATTTGCTAAAATGTCAAACCATCTGCCCCGCGTGTGTCAGTCGTCAGCAAATGGGAATTGATGTATTGTTCAACTCAAAAGCGACTTTGAAAAACCAAACGGGTGAAGTCGAATTCGATTGAAAGAGGAGGAAAATTTTCCGTCTTCTTATTCGCCGATATTTAGATTCGCGACGAGTCCTGGCCATGAGTATTAACATTATGAATGATGAAAACATTTGGAAATTTTTCTGATCACTCCATAAAAAGGCGTTCAAATCGTGTAGCTGGAGACCGACGGATTAAGTAATTAGCCTGACATTTAAAAACTGAACTGTTTGGATCCTACTGGTACGGTGCAATTGATAGAATTAAAAAAAAACTGTGAATCAATATTGATGTTGTCGTCATTTTATTTTTAAAGTTTTATTGAAAGCATCGCCCTTACGCGAAATTTTTTCTCCCTTTCAAAAGTAAAATTCTAGTTTACTTTCCATTTTTGGGTTGATTCAAAAGCAAAATAAAAATTATCAAATGATCTCTTCACACGGATGTGGGAACCAGGTTCAATTTTTATTATAGTTTGTTGTCTTTTTCTGTTTCTTCTGGCAAAGCTTAAGTATTCTTAGAATTTTCAATTCCAAAGGATTTAATGAGGTCGAGTCACTCTCTAAAAAATTGCTTAACGCAAAAAAACACCTACTAAATGGTTAAAAATTAAAGGAGCAACTCACCATATTTTATTGCGTTCGTCTCATCAACAGCATTTTCACCCTGTTTGATAGCAAGTTTGCCAAGTTAACGTGTTTGCAAATACACTTTGAATATCCTTAGGGACCGAATAACCTCATTGGGTGCGAGAAAATTGCACCCAACAGAAAACTGCAGCTGTTAGCTTTACAAGACAATGGCTGCCGAAAAACTAATATGTTCTGTATTTTAGGATCACCAAAAAAAGTACTGCGGTATTGTCATGTCTTAAATTTTGTCGTTCAGCTAAATTAGTGCCTATCAAGTGTCATCACTATGGTGGAACTATTTTAAGTTTTACATTTGATTTAGCCGCGTTTATTAGAATCAGCTCGAAAGACGAAATTATTCAGATGGAATTTGGATAAGCTGAAGCAGGGAAATGCCCTCTTTCATTCGAACACCAAGCTGATTAAGTCAACACTGAATTCGATAAAAAATCTCTTCTTTCAAAACACGAGAAAACGTGATAAAAAAAAAAACTGGACAAAACACGAAAAAACGGGATCAAGAAACTGGACAATGGAACTCTATTTTCTATAATCGTGATCAGTTTGTTTGGTATTAGGAATAAGATTTAATGTCTGAATTTCAACCGTTCCTGAGTTAAAAACTTCGCCCACCTAGACAAGGAAAAAGACCGCATTCTTCCAGCTAATTCAGACGCAGAACTTTTCGCCCACGTAATTTAAAATATTTGGGTTTACAACCTGAATTTGTCAAGACTTCTTCCTGCCTACTGCATCTTTTATTTGCTGTTCATCTTTGAATATCAATTCGCCACTTGCTACCTCATCTACAGGTGAAAAAAGGTTTATATCAGTCTTGTATATTAATGGAGATTTGTTCTTGAAAACTGGAATGTCCACACTGAATATCTGTTATTTATCATTTTCCCTTCTTTTTAATTTCTTCTGTGTTCATAAGTCTTTGATTTAAGGGTAGGACTCTATCCTTAACTTGAAGGAACAAAACTCTTACAATTTCTCAAAAAAATTGAAGTTGTACATTGCCTTTTTATCCTTTTGACATGGTAAACTTCTGAATACAACAAATGTCATTGTTTGAAACTGTTGATGGTGTACGATAGGAGACTAAACCTTCATTTTCAACAGCACCTGTGTTGTACACGCGCGCTCGTATATACTTACTGTCGAAGCTACACAATAAAAACAACTTGCTAACTAAATATGATATATGTCTCGTGATCTCTTTGATCTCTTTGTGCAATTGGTAACTTGATAAATTACCGAAACGAAGCAGACTACAAATTAAACAGAAATAGAGGTGGATTATATTCCGTTGTAACCTTATCGGATAATGACAGACAACAGACACTTTTGCTTCGGTCAATTTTCCTATGTGTGGTCTCTATGATCAAGCTGGTGTGCGAATTTCATCTACATTACTAATTTTAAACAATTTTTTTTACCTTTTTTACAAAAGCGATAAAGCTAAGTTAAAAATCCTCTAATTTCAATTTAATAAAGGCTGATAGTTTCGAAAGAAACTGTTTGGGGCTGCGTCGGTGGGAGTAACGAAATAACTTGGATATATCAGCTTTTGTAATCGTTACGGTGGCCAATTTACCACTTCAACTTTGTTGATATATCCAAGTAATTTCAATTTAGTTTGCTCAACTCGAGCATGCGCAATCCAGAATGTTTTCAGTTCACTGAATTTCTCATTGCAAAAGGCTGCATGTAGCGAGAGCATTTAAATGGAATTTTCCTATTAAATTCAGACTGTTTGTCGCTATCTTTCCCGTAATGTTGCGGCCAAAGATCAGTTTTATCGGTCCCTTCCCATTGTTCCTTGTAGATTTAAATAGTTCTAACCCTAAAGGTTAGCGTGATACTGACTTTGGCCGAGTTTCGCAGCGTTTGAAATTTCTACGTATATTACCTAACAAAAAATTTAGCTAATTCTCCCCCACTTATCCCCGAAAAACACCTTTTGAGCGGGCAGGACGAAACGGGAAAACAAAGCAACAACAAGCAATTAATAATGAAAAGCAGAAATTAAAGCTGGTTTGATAATTTTATTTACATTCATTGCCAAAGAAAGGAAACAAAAACTGTGGCTACATATTTTTTTGTTCACGCGGCCGAAGTAGTACATATGCGAGACACATTTTAGATATAAACCTAAACCATTTCAGGTACCTTTAGAGTCTGCGATACTGCGGTAATGTATGGGAACACCTATCGAGAAGTCTGTAGTTCGAGTCCTCATAGGTTACTCTTTTTTTGTCCGTGCCCCCTGCTTTTGCTTGCGGTGTTGGCTTACTTTACGAAAGTTAGTTTATATATTTTTTTTTAACGGAAAATTAAAACCTTACATACTGCTCACCGAGCCTTGATAAAATACTTCTTATTGCCTCTGAACTGTGTACAGCACCAAACGGTGGTAACTGTCTCCTTCCCCTTCCACCGCCCCACCCCCTCTGAATCAAGTTTTGTCATTTGCCACAGTTCATTGCAATCGCAGTCTGCTGCGTGAAGGCGTTATGGAGGTTGTTAAGGAGATTTTAAGTTTAGACCGAAGGGTTTGTTTAGATTTGTTTTTATCGTGATTTTAATGGTTCTAGCCAGTTTTGGATATTTATATGAGGCATTCGATAAATTTCTCGCATGATCACGACTTTGTTTGCAACCTGCAGTTAACATTGCGCTAAACAGATCGAAGATTTCAGACAAGAGATTCAATACCAGCTCAGTGTTTAACTCAAGACAAAATGAGGTAAGTTTAATGTGAACAAGATTTTGTATTTACGAATATTGTGTTTAAGAATATTGATACAGGGTAGCCCAGTTCAGCTAATAGCTGGTTTAAACGAGGCCCTGTCATATCCACCCATCCCACCCCAGGGGAGGACATCCACCACACAGTAATCTCGTGCGTGGGAAATTAACGTCTCCTACCCCTAACCCTGCAGGAGACGGGGCCTACGGTTTATTCGTTTTTATCCGAGAAGACTAGAATATCTATCCATTTCTTGATATTATGATATTATGATATTATCTTGACTTGAATGCGAAAAATAGCAAACCGCAAAATTAAATGCTTCTGACTACATTCTTTGAAAAAAAAAAAAAAAAAAAACTCATTGCAGAAGTATGTTGGGTGACGTTCTCGTTCAGTGAAAAAGGAAGAGCTAAATTGGAAATTCCCAACATTGTTTCTCGGGACGAACTCAAGAATGTTTGAATTTCATGTGGAAATATGAACACATTTTTTTTCCACTTGAGCCTAAATAAGCCGAGGAATATATTTCAAGAAAAAGGAATTATGAAAAATTCAAGGGATGTAGTAACATACGATCCTTTCGTTGCAAGAATTTTGTTTTTAGAACAGCATTAAAAAAAATCCAAAAGGTCTGATGGAAGTGAGCTGGATGAGTTGTCTTTCCCTCTGACTCATTCACTGTCGAGGTATTTGAGGTGTGAGATAAGGTAAAAGGG